GTGGACTTCTAGTAATTTTCCCTGTCAGTCTTTGGGTAGTAAGATCGGACGTCCGTGTGTATTGTTGCGCACGTAAAAAATAAATTTGCTGGTGGAAATCAAAAAGAGTAGCCTAACGGCGCTGCCTGGGCAAAATTTTAAGTTAAAAATCTACACAAAGTAGTTCAGGATCCTCACCGGTGCTATGGAGTTCGTGCGCAGCACTGAGAATCTTCGAACTCAGGCTTGAGTTAGAAGTAGAACGGAACGCTTATGGGTTACCCTTGTGCCATGATGTTGATCTGTTGTTCAAACCATCAAACCATTCGTATGTGATTCAACGACAAACGAATCCCTAAAAACCTGCTCGACTGTTTAAAAACAAGAAAGCTATACTGGGAGCCACGAAGTAATGTGGTGACCAGTTTAGATGTGTAGTTCTAACAAAAAGCATCAACAAATAAAATGTTACGCTAGGATAATGTAACGTATGCAACTTACAGATGTAAGTCAGGGACTCCTAACACAATCACTGAAGACAAATTTGGAGCTTTTAAAGGGAAATGTTACAGACACCTCTTAGGAACATTATGGACCACGAGGAGAAAAAACGGCGACATCCTGCATGATCAAAACATGGAAGAGAATTGTCTCATAAACAGCATCCTGTTCCGAAAGCTAAGGTATTCTGGCCACGATAAACGTCATGGTGGCCTGAAGACAGCGGTGACGAAAGGTACCGTTTCCGGAAAAGGAGGCAAGGTAGACCGACGCGAAGCACCCCCCCCCCCCAAGTTTGTAAACAATATATATATATATATATATATATATATATATATATATATATATATATATATATATATATATATATATATATATATATATATATATATATATATATATATATATATATATATATATAGTCTGGTAGTCTTAGCTTCAGCTATCAACAAATTCCTTACATGGAACTATACATTTCACAGTTCATGAGACGCAGTGTGTGATAATCCGAGATAAGAAACTGCACATAATGTTCAGAAGCTCTGTCGCGAACGCACTGCGGGCGCTCTTTTATTTTTCAGCTCGGGCAAAGTAAAGAAAGAAGAATGGGTTTAGGTTATAAATGAACGGACCAAGCTTTAACTGTTACAATTTAAGCTATTAGCAAACAAAATGTTTTTTTATGATTTCATCAAGCATAGGCATACATTTTCTTGTTATGTTTATTTCGTTAAACACAATATTAAAACAACGACTGAAAAGCCCCACTGCTAATTTTAGCTGGAAGCCGCCACTGCAACAGAACCTAGAGCTAGTTACAGTCAGCAGATGGTTTTACAAATATGTAAAACAGTTATGGTCATGCACATGAAGTGTTAATGGATTGGACATGATGGCGCCTTGTAATGAAATTATTCATTATATAAGCTGCTAGGCAGTGCACTGGGTTGCTATATTAGAACGCATTGTAATCTCAGAAATGTTACCAATATTTTTATGTCTTCCCTTTACGCCTCGATGGAGTTTGATCCTAACCACACTCATGTCAAACCTTTTGCCATTACATATAGATCAGATCATGAGCTCCTTATCTTATTTTTCACCACTCTCTTTAATTTTCTCTTTTCTGTGTGTGTGTGTGTGTGTGTGTTTTTTTTTTTTTTTATTGGGAGAAAGTGTGGGATGTGGCTGGAAGGGGGTGTACACCCTCTTATGTTAGCTCCAGTGCAAGGACACTTATGTTACTAGCATATTTTTTTTTCTCCAGAACTAGATGCGCCTGAGCATAGCTAATTTGGCATAGCCCTTCAGCCTCGGTGACTCGTACACCGTTAATCTGGGGAGTATACGGCTTTTCTGCCATCCCCTGACCCGAACCAGAGACCGGACACGCATGAGGATTGTCCAACGCGCTATCAACTACGCTGGCGTGCTGGCAGTATATGAAGTATAAAGCTGCAACATACTAGAGCAGTGGTTTCAAGCCTTCCTAATGTCGAGACACTTTAATACAGTTTCTCATGTGGTGGTGACCCCCAACCATAACATTATTTCCGTTGCTACTTCATAACTTCAATGAATATGTTTTCCTATGGTCTTTGGCGACCCCTGTGAAATGGTCGGTCGACCCACAAATAGGTCGCGACCCACAGGTTAAGAACCGCTGTACTAGAGGTACATTTGTAAAGAGTCATAAGGTTTCACTGAATATGGATCCCTGTGTGTCCTCCCCAACTTTTTCATATCACTATCTAGTTTCTTCAGTGCGGGACATTTTTTTATGACCTTGGCGCCCAGGTCAACCCAGTCTTAAATGGGTACCAAGTAGTCCTGGGATGTAAAGGTGGCCATATCACCCAGCGAATGCCGAATGGTATATAAAATAGAGGCCCTAGCCCTATATGTCTGAGGGCATGGAAAATGATCCTTTACTTTTATTTATTTACTGATCTATTCTCTTCAAGTTTTTGGTACTGTTTTATTCCTTTGACCCTGTGGGTTCCAGTGCGAATGTAGTTCTATCCTCCCAGTTTTTGTTATCTAAACACACAGCAGCTGTTTCCCTGCATGACTTGAATTAATGCAGAGTCTGTCAGTGTGATCCTGCGCAGCATGCTACAGTTATGACAGAACATGAAACCTTTAGATACTACACAAAGTTGCAGCCAAACAGATGTTAACTCAGCGGTTCTCAACCTGTGGGTGGCGACCCTTTTTAGGGTCGAACGACATTTTCACAGGGGTCACCTAAGACCATCGGAAAACATATTCATTAAAGGTATGAAGTTGTAACGAAAATAATTGTGTGTTTGGGGGTCGTCACAACATGAGGAACTGTATTAAAGGGTGGCGACATTAGGAAGGTTGAAAGCCGCTGTGTTAACTCATGCTACATCTTATTTTAGGCCACCTGTGTCTGCTCAAACAATAGTTCAATTACCAAGCTACATCCTCTGTAATCTCATACAGCTTTGCTCAGCAGCACAATCAAAGGCAGTATTAGTCGATCAGGATGTGGATAGTTAACAAGAATTCATTAATACTAGCGGCATAGACCTTTAGCTGTCTATGTTGTTAGGTTCGTGAAGAGCTGCCTTAGCATTAACAGCATGTTCTGACAGTATACAACTAACATTTTACTACCCAACCCACTTAGGACAGCAGACAGCAGACTTTTTTGTAGCTGTATGCTGTCCCAGTATAACTATTTTTAAATGATTAAACTGGAGCGTCTAGGATCTCCACGTGTTGGATTTACATCCAAAAAGTGGTGCCTTCAGTCACTGGGTATCAAACTTTCAGGATACTATCCCTAGACCTGTTGTATTTGTATCTCAAAAGTGGCTCTTTCAGTCATTAATTAATCAACCTTTCAGGTTGTGAGTAAGGGGAAAAAAAACACTGGTCACCCACAACCTCAACATGCAATTTGTTCAACCTTCCAGTAAAGACATAACTAATGCCTTGCCATGCCAACTTTACTGATTCAAGACCATCACCTGAAATCACCCCATGATTACAAGGTACCAGAGGGACTAAACAGGCAGGGAGAACAGTAAAACTTGGAGAAACCAATCAACAGGCAGGGAGAATATAAAAACTTGGAGGAAACAAGTAAACAGGAAAGGAGAATAGCAAAACTTGGAGGAAACCAGTAAACAGGAAGGGAGAATGGCAAAACTTGGAGGAAACCAGTAAACAGGAAGGGAGGATAGCAAAACTTGGAGGAAACCAGTAAACAGGAAGGGAGAATGGCAAAACTTGGAGGAAACCAGTAAACAGGAAGGGAGGAAGGCAAAACTTGGAGGAAACCAGTAAAGAGGCAGGGAGAATAGCAAGGAGCAAACCAATAAACAAACAGGGAGAACAGCAAAACTAGGAGGAAACCAATAAATAGGTAGGGAAAATGGCCAAACTTGGAGGAAACCAATCAACAGGCAGGGAGAATAGAACAACTGGGAGAAAACCAACTTTATAATAGCATGCTAGTATCTTACAATAAGGCCAAATCAACGCTAAACAGGATGGAAAAAGCAAATCAAAGACATCCCGTGTGGGTTCCGGGGCCTCATTGTGGGGGAAAACAGGAACAATCCACTGCCCCCCTTCCCCCCAATAAGCATGTTGTAAGAACCAACTAAAGTTGGAGTGCATGGGCCAGAGCAGCAAGGAACAACCAACTGCAAATAAAAGAGCCAGTAAAACAGATGTACTCGCAAAACACACACCCTGGCCCAAAGTCCAAATAGACGAACAACCATGACTTCCCACCGGTGCTTAGACATTATAAAAATTACAAATGACATGACCTAGACAAAAAGATGTTTTAAAAGCCTAAAGTAAATGGTTTTATTACACTAGGTTTTATCCATATAGTTCAGCCTTTCTCCGCATATACGCTGTTCATCTACCAAGAGTGTTAGAAAAAGCACGAAACTACAAAGATCCAGTGAATTCCTCTACTGATCTCTGAAATACCTAGTGTAGCCAACCAAAAGATGGACTAAAACTTGACATAACCTTCAGAATTACTTCACCACAGAGATCCCTAACCATCACCGAATTAAACAAACAATCATCTTGTGAAGTGATATGAGTTAGAACAGATTCAGGTATCACCTCATAAACATATCAAACGTTGGTACTACAGGCCTGTTCATGTGGCACTGACTGCTGACCACTTACTGCAGGACTACCCTGTATATTATGATCTTCCCCAAAAGTGTTTCCATCCTCTCAGGTTGTACAGCTCAAAATTTCCAATGACCTTGAAATCTTTGACACCAGTAGTGTAGCCTTTTTACCTTTGGTTGATGTACACTATAAAAATCTGACTAACCGAATGTCAACTTCAGTTCGCTTCTTATATTCCTATAGCAAGCTGCAGTTTCTATTTTTAATTATTATTTGGGAGGGAGGTGGGGATTCCTTTGTTTGTCTTGTAAACCTTTGGGACTCAGAAAAACAACAAGTTTTTAGATGAATCACTTTACAGAAGCTAAATGACAAACAAAACTTACCTGTGGTCACACCAACAAGTCTTTTCACACCATCAGGTGCATCCATTTCAATGCCAACATCTGCAATGCTGCGTGGAGTGGACGAGGCGTCAAACATGTTGGTACTGGTTTTAGTAACAACAGATGCTGGACGGGATTCTGCCATTGTGACTTGAGGCTTCAGAGTTGTTTAGATGAAATTTTAATGTTTCAGATGTCAGTGGTTGATACTGTCAGTATCTCACTCTTCACAAACTGTAATTTTTTTGCATGTGGCACTGTTTGAATTCTGTTAGGGTGAACTTGACTGCATGATGCAGTTTCCTATTTTTGTTTTGTTTCATTTGAAATCAATACAGAGCTTGTGGACACCAAAATGAGCTATTTAGACAGCAATGATTCCTAAAAATCAACCTAGAGCACAGATTATTTACTAAAAGTATTAAATTATTTCTTGTATAAAGCATGAAGGTTTTTCTAAATCAAGTGTAGGATATTTCTCCCTGTTCTGAACTTCAGGCATATAGTTTCATAGTTTGTTATGTCTTAGTTATTCAAACAGTTTTAAATATATCTAAGATTAAATTTAAAAAGTCTAAACCAGAAAAATTTTTACATCTGTGCGAAGGAAAGTAATCACTGTATACAGAGCACAGAATTAACTGATTTCCTTCTCTCTGACTAATTAAAAGAGGTTTTGGTTACTTAGTCACAGAGTGCAATGTGATGTAATAATGAAATTTTATGACGTCACTAAGAATCTACAATTTATAAAAATCTATTCTTTTCACCCCAAATACTATCTTTAAAAACAATTTTGGTAAATATAATCATACCCAGAATTACTACAGACTATGCAGTTGCAGCCAGTGCAAAAGCTGTCGTCAGGAAGACATAACTGGTACTGTTCAATCAACCAATATCTGTACAAATGGGAAAACGGCTTTCTCCAGGTGAGAAGGTTAAGTGTGAATGTAGTACATATATATATTTTTTTGCACCTGTCATGGACTAAATTATGTGTGTACGACTGTGCTGGCACTTCTGACAGCTGCCTCATGCAGCAGACACATCCAGAAGGCAGGGGCAGATCATAGGAGATCCAGGACTTAAATGAACACACAAATAGGTAAATTTGTCTTAAGCACGTTAGACACCCTTAACATTGTTTCAACTGAACACTTAGCATGACAGTATTTGAAAAGCATCCTTTGGGCACGGCTTCCCCTATTTGATGCAGACACTCTGGCGAGTAGGGCCAAGGGTAACCCGCATCTGAACCTTTCTGCCAAACAGTAGGACATTTAGGACTTAGCTGCTTTGCTATGACATGTTTTTGATGGACATATGAGCCTAATCAGCTGACTGACAGTGGAAAATTCTTGCTGTGTACCTCAAGGCAGTGACAACGATGCTGAGGATTGACAAAGGATGTATGGCAACAGGACTGTATTGTGAGATACCGCCCGCAGGATATGTTGCTACTCTAAGCTGCGAGCATATCTCTTGGTCAGCAGATAAGTCTCAGCAGTTCAGTAGTTCTTTCATTCGACAGTAGTTTTAACCGAAGGTCGTCATTTCTTCTTCGCCTCTTTGAGTTCACCGGCTATAAACTCAGGCGGAAAGTTCTAGCTGTTTGTCCCCCTCTGGACTTTTGTCTTGTTCCAGAACCTGGGTGTTGCGTGCACATCCGCTTAACATATCTAACTTAACTGTATGCAGATTATTTGTTCCTTGCCTCTCAGGCAGATGCACTCCGACTTGAAGGAAGCCCCCAGTTATTCGACTCTTACAACATGCTTGCTGGGGAGGCATTGGGTCTATTCTTGTTTTCCCTACAATGGAGCCCCAGAACCCATACAGGGAGGGTCGTAATTTAATTTGGCCAGCGGGCTTTATTCATGTTCCAAATGAGTTTTGACAGATGTTTTCACTCATGCATTTGGGGTGGGCTGATGCAAGCCAGAAGATTTCTGGGCAGTGCATCTCTAAGGAGGGCCACCAACTCCAAAATCCCCTGCCAGCTTGGTTTATGCTCATTAGAGCTATTATCCGTGACGCACAATGGGGATGTGTGGCAGAATCCATCAAACCAGTAGCACATAGTAAACTGGTGACTAAGGTGAGGTGCAGAGTAACTTCTTAAACACAAGACAATGGCCTTAACTTTTCCTTATGCCTGCTGTTTCAGTATGTTCCTATAAGCCTATACCTACCAACACTGGTGAAATTTCAAAATGCCAATATTCCTCTTGGTCTCTCTGATGCTAAACTCTGTTATCCAAAGAGTTATTAAATAACCCTGCACATAATTTGTACAGACGTTTCCTAGTATTTACTAGGTAATTAATAACTTGACTTTCTTCTTCCAAGAAAATGTTATTAAGGAAAATAAAACTTGTGGGTTAGGAGTTTAAGAAATAACTGAGAGGCGATGAAACAACTAGGATAGAGACATCTAAAGTAAAAAAAAAAAAAAAACAGAGTAGGTGAGAGAAACCACCATCATGGACTGAAGAGGTAAATAAAACAAAGGTGTGCATTATTCACTGTACTTGCTGTGTGTTGGGCTTGGTACAGACAAGTTAATGATTATACTAGTAGGAATCACGCATTATTATCATTATACATTAGTTGATAATATCTCAATCATTTTTAATAATAAGTCTCCTTCTTTAAGCCTATACCTAATTCATTTATTTTGTTATACTCTAACACCAAATCTATATTATTATTATATGATCAACAACTGAAGAAAGAAATACAATATAAACTTTAGACAATATTATTAATAAACGTCCAATCTAATCAAAAGAATTCTTACTGTTTATATAATTTAGCCTAGTGCTCAGTATATATTAATAAAGCAAACTGTAACACATCATACCCTTATTATAAATTATTACTGATATTATTCTTATTAAATAATTATTACAATATATTAGGTTTTAAAGTAGGTTTTTATTTTTAGTTTTCATTCTTTCTTAGCGAAGGTGCTTACTGATTTTTATAATATTTTATTATATAATATAATAATATAAATAATTGTATATAACGGTGAACTACTGTTATTCAACTATTCCACAATATGTCCTGTAAAATTCGAGTATAAGAAGTGATTTCTAATACATTTGTTCATCGTGACGAATAAGACTTCCTTGAAATAACTGATATATCCTGGTAGGATAACAAATAACTCTGAAACTGCCGGTCAAAGATCTCAACACAAAACAAGCAGACGTCGCACGACAGTCGCATGACTACATTTATTTACATCTCTTACTCTTACTTCTTCTCAAAATCATTCTCCTTGAACAAGCACTAGTGAAGCCAAACCTAATCACTGAAATATACAACAAGTATTCTGTGGTCAACACGGATGAATAATACGGCTAAAATGTAGAGAGACAAGGGGAGAGGAGATAAATAACAACACCAAATGTGGTTACAAGAATAATACTATAGATGCCTGGTTCCCCTGCCATGACTTTCGGTTGCCGTTTGCAGTGTTGCCACTTTTCTTTGACAACAAATATCCAAAACGGTGTCAAAAAATATCTAAAAAGATCTAAATCTGCGTGGAAAAGATCTAGAAAAAACATCCAAATTGAAAAAGTCAAAAATTACATAGCTTTTGTTATGACTTACCCTACATAATCATGTCCTCATCTTCACTGATGTCTGCCTCACAAGATCCACAGGATAAACTTAGCTTGGATAATGAAGTTGAAGCTTCAGATCCAAAATTACCCTTGAATGCTTTAGCTGTTCAAATTTCTTTTTAAGTGGAACAGTAGGCTTATTTCCCTAGTCTCATCAGGCCGAATTTTAATAGCACGATAGCATTTAAGAGGTCAAATTTCATCCTGTTTCTTAGGTTAGATTTGATATAATTCCTAGCACTGAAAACTTTCTACGTCAGCATTTGAGTGGGGTAGTATCATGGCAGACATGGCACTTTTAAAGAGCTTACAGAATGGACTGTTTGATGAGGCATCTTTAAATTGACTCACTTCACTCCAAAACGCTTTAGTTTCTGTTTTGTTTGTCCATTCAGCTAACTTTATTTTGGTTAACTGATATTCTGCTTCCGCGACACTATTATCAGTAGCCCCTAAAAATTTCATAACTTTTTTTAGTTATGTCCTTTATTGGCTGAAGTATGTTGCTCACAGAAAAAAAAAAAGGGAAAATTTTTCAAAACATCTAGATTTTCAGGAAGTCTCTGCTTCAGTTGCTTGAATAACGAGACAAGAAAATCTTGACAGCGTTTTCTTAAGTTGTTCTCTTCATTCTCTGTTAACAGTCCTTTTGTTTTTAAATCACCAATTTTTGATTCGATTTGATATCCAAGGTATGGCATGGGAGCCAAATAGTTCTCTACAGTGCAAGCGAGCAAATCAGCTTATAGAAGTTAGCAACACCAGTCTTTTACCAGCTGAGTGAAATAGCAAAGTGAGTTCATCAAGTAATTTAACTTTATCAACATGTTTAGATTCGAACAGTTTATTAACTTGTTTGCGCTTAAATTAGAATAGGTTATAAAAAGAGAATGAATGACACATTTTTTTCATCACTGTACATTCCATATAGTATTTCAGCTGTGTAGCACTTTTCACTTTGTCTTATTATTTCAAAGTGTGTCTTCAACTTCAACCATTGCTTCATAATTCTTTCAACAGCTGGTTAAATTGAAAACAATCTAGTTTTGCAATCTGACAGAATTTTCGGTGGTGTGGAACCATCATTCAAGGCTGTATATATTGTATTGTATTGCTGTTGTCTGACAAATGATTTGGAAAACCAGTAAAGTGTTTCAGCAATAAGGTATTCCAAATTCCTTGGTAAATATTTAGATGAAGCATGTGATAATGCTAGCTGCAATGAATGACGCATACATTTTATAAGTATTAACGATGGGATAGCTTCCTTCAGCTTGGCATAAACCCCATTGTTTATATCAACCATCACTGAGGCATTATCAGTACCAATTGCAGCCAAATTCTTCAAGCATAAATGTTTGCTGATTAAAAGGTCCTTCAGTTCCTAAACTATACTTTCTACATCACACTTTTCCAATTGAACTAGTCCAAGATTTTTTAACAAATCGATCAAATGGTCACAGTTTGAAATTGCACAGTGACAAATTAAAAACATTGCGACTGA